AATAGACTTAACCAATCCGGTTTAGCCTAATCTTGAGATGTATTCAAGTCACAGAATCAACAAAAACAATAGAGTTGATTCAACGAAAGCTTTACCTTAGAACCAAGGATGAGAAGAAAGACTATGTTTATGATCCGAGAAAAAGGGAATGGAACGATGTAGAAAAGCCATTTGTGAAGTTTTTGGTAAAGCATGTATGGTACCGTTGTGGTATACAAAATTTCTTGTGGTATGACGCAAAGAGTCGAGAATGGAGAGTGGTTCGAGGTTTGGCTACATTGAATAGATATCGTCATTCTAGTATGATTGATATAGCCAGTTACCGTGGGAAACTTTTAGTTTCATGGGACAAGTTTGCGCGTCCTGATCGTCAACACAAAAATATTTGGTGTGCGATGATTGCGCTTGAAACAAAAAATGATGGTGAAGTTTGTGGCAAGATTGAGTGGGCTAATATTGTGCTTAAGGTTCCTAGTTCATACGTTTTCTTGCGTAGGCGAACCAATAAGCTTTGATCAATTGTAATACTTATTCTTGTGTTTTGACCATTGAAAATGGACTTTTCTTTTATCGTGTGTGTAGTTGCTTTAAGATTTCATAATAGAAAAAAAATCATTTAAATTATTGTGTTCTAGGATATGGTTTATATATGCTAGGGTCGTTTTGTTCCTTTTTTTCATAAAACAATGTTTGTTTGTTGGAATTGTTACAAAAGATTATTCAAACAAGACTTGTGAAGATTGCACAATGGATCATACGTGTTGGAGTGTGATTACATAACCGGAACCAAATCTCAAGGTGAGATGGATCATTTGATTGAGTTGCTTATTGAGGCTAATGAGCTTTACCTTCGCCGTTTGCTTGAGTTGGCTCATTTGATTGAGTTGGTTATTGACTTCGCCGTTAGCTTGATGTCAAGATGCGGAGAGGAAGGAGAATAATCAGGATGGTTGTGATGCGGAGAGGTAGAGAATTCCTAAAGTTTTGCTTTTAGTAACTCTATGAAAAGTTGGTTGGCTTTGCCTAAACAGTTATCGAAGGTCAAACACAAATCAGCTGTGTAACGTTAGCGGATAGTAGCGGAAGAACTAAACAATTCTTGTATACATCTTTTTAGGTGAATTTAGTGTTAAATTTAAAATTGATAGTTGATCTTCTATATATTAAAGGAGAAGTATTTTGGAGAATTTTTGCTGAGGTGCCACCATAATTTTTCTCAAATTTTTCTTTTTAATTTAATCAAATAATTATCCTATGTTATACCAATTCCCAAACAAGTTTATCCAACAAACTAGATAACTTGATTAATTTAAATATAATTATCAAACAAACTAGAAATACTATTAAATATTTTATTTTATTTTTTGATGTCAAATATTCCCTACTCATACCATTAAAATTGGTAATTTTGTTTTTTCTTTTAAATTTCATTTATATCTTAATATATAAAATATTGCATTTAACCAAACGATGCACTTTGACATTGGAATTTTTAAATTTATAACCTCCAATATTATTGGACATAATACTTTATTCAATTATTTATTATTAAAACGGGTAATTACATTAAATTATTTTTAAAACTCATGATCTAAATGAACGTTTTAATACTATGGTAAATAAAATAATATAATTACCTTTGTTTGGTTATATTTATGTTACTTACATATCTTAAGTTTTAATTTAATAAAAATAAATATAAAAAGTATATCTTAATTTAACTACTTATATGCTAAAATAAAATTAATCAATAAAAGTTTAATAGTATCTATGGTATATTCTAAACTTGAAAAAAAATATGACGTGATAGGATTCATTATATCTAAAGAGCATTTAAAAATTGGTAATTGATGATTGATTTATTAATATCATACAATTATTAACCAACCGTAAATAATTTAATTAAAATTCACTACTAATGCAAAAAAATCTAATTACCTTAGTGTTGTAAATTTATAATTGACTACTAACGATTTAGAAAATTCACTATATTTTCATTACTCATTAGCATACAAAAATATCATAATAGATATCTATTATTCAATTAAATTCACGATTAACCAATTTACTTAAATTTACCACCCAACTTACTATAACTACCTAAAATACCCAAGATTTTATATTCACAATCGCACTTATTTTGGTAACTATATTAACAAGAATAAAGAAAATGGCACTTCTCCAAAACACGATTAAGCCTAACTTGGAGCTAACACACATATGCCCTATATAAATACTTTATTTACCTCATTCTCATTTTCATTCTCATTCCCAATATTACATATATAAAATAAAACATTCTCAATATTTGACTATGATTTTTGTTAGGACACAAAGACAAAATGTTCTTGATTTAAGTCTCAATCGAACTGATTAGTGTGTTTACGTTAGAATATTGAATTTTTCGAACAACCAAATCTACATGGTGAAACTAAAAGGTGACATAATAAAAAAAAAAAAGAATGAGTGGCATGATTGATTAAAAACTTCCAACAGTTGCAAGTTTGTAATTGTCCATAATTTAATATATACAGATGATTAAATACGAGTAATAATTTTAACACATAAATAAATCATTTAATATGTTTGTTATTTTCAACTATTTTACAAGTGAAACACATTTGTATAAAAACAATTGCAAATTCAAATATATAAAGCGCATCATAGAGTCCGTAAAAGAAATATATCAATAACTACAGTTGATTATTTAACGGAAACTATATTAATTTAAATATTTTTTCCCGCGTATAATGCGGGTACTATTCTAGTTAATTTGATATTAGTGTCACAAATTGTCTAGAACGATCACCATGAAAGTCATTAACAAAAAAAAACCTCAATTAAAATTTTAATCAGACGTCGATTGTTTAAAGAATATGTAACCTACAATCAAACTGATTTTTGATGTATTTTCAGAAGAAGAAAAAYAGGGACAACAACAAAAATTTGGAGAAAATGTTTTTGAATTGATTTATAATCTCTCATTATTATATCTTTAACAACAACAAAATATATATAGCAATTTGGGTTTTTTAATTTATATCCAAATAATGTTTGTTCCGAATGGGTTTTCTTCTATACCTCTCACATGTCACATTTGTCACATGAGCTTATTTTAATTTCGTGAGCCCAAGAACAGGTCTTGTTTGAAACCTTCTTCTTGGAGTAGAGCCTTTTGTCTTCTTCACTCCTCTACCCTAGACGTACTTTGGATTTAC